CAACTATGCCCAAACAGACAACATTTAGAATAAACCCGGGGCAGCTGAAGATACTCCACTTCGACTTCAAAAACAGGATCAGAATCAGGATACAGCTTAATCGAGGGTGGGAAATCATAATCAGCAGCCAACTCGATGCAGACCTTAGAGAAACCCAACTGATCACCGAATCTAGTCTTCTGGTCAGTCCAAAGAGGCTTCCCCATCGTGCTCGCTACCCACTCGATGCCTTCTTGGCTCAGGTACTCCAGCGGCAACCCCAGAATTTTCACCCAAATTGGCAGTGATTCGACGTTAGGCGCTAGCGGCTGGATTCCCGCTTCCCACTTCCGAAAGAAAATTGGGTTACCCCCAAAATGCCAAGGACCAGACCTAAAAACCCAGTCACATGACGAAATCGACGAAAATTGAAATACCAATAACTTGGGACCAAAACGTGATACACGAACCTATCCATCTCTGCCCCATAACCGATTAGCCCATGACTGGAGCTCGGCGACCTTCGGAAGCCTCCCGACGAACTGCCCGATCAAGGACATCTTCCATTGTTCAGCCCCCTTCTCCTTAACTGCCTGCGGAATACGAAACCCGTCCTTAACCTTCTCAGGAGGACGATAGGTAAGACGCTTCTCCGGAGCCACCGAAAAAAGCTGAGCCCAGGAGGTCGACGAACCCTCGCCAGCCGGCGAGGATGCCGACGGCGAGGTTGCCATCGCAGAAATTTCCGGCGAGGTCGCCAGCCGGTAAATATTTTCCACGTGACTTTTGAAAAAAAAAAATGAAAAGGGTAACTCGTACAGATCAGACCCCCCTCTCTCTTCCTTTTCATTTTCTCTTTCCTCCACAGTTCTCTTCCCCTTCGAACCCTACTCATCTGACGAAGACTACGAACAACGTTTCCTTCTCCAGAATGGCGGTGGTGTTCGCCGACGACGAGCGCCCCTTTTCCGATCGATCCCACAACGACTAACAAAACCCCTTTCCTCATACCATATTTTCCTCCCACCCACTCATCCCACACCCACACCCAAACTTCCTCCTCCGAGTCGGCGGCCATGCATCCGGTTGGTTAATAGAGGGTTGGCGAGCACATTCCAGCGACGCGATTGACTTCTGGTGTGCTCAAATTGACCATCGAGACCAAAGAATCCCAAGTTGACTTCGACAGGAAAAAACCCTAATCATCAGGAAGCTTAGGGGAATCTCGGGAGGTTGATTTTCTGGGCTTCTTACTTTCATTCGACCGGTAAGTAAATCTCTGGTGGTCGATTTTCCTCTTTTCTCTTCTCGCAAATGTTCGATTGTGGGTGCAGTGTTGTAAATTTGTGTTGGTTCCTTCGTTTTATAGATCGTAGCGGGCATTAAAGGTAGGAAAGGTGACCACTGGCTACGGTGGAAGTGCGGAACGGTGGAGGTGGGTGTGGCGTGGAAGGGCGGAGTCGGGAACGGCGCGAAACAGCGGAGGCTAAGGATGTTGGGGAAGGAAGGAGGAGGCTGAAATGGGTTCCTCGACGGTTGCGGCGGGGCTGCTTTAATCAGCGGCGGGTCGGCTTTAATCAGCGGTGGCGGTTCAAAGGAGGAGGCGGTGATGGGTTCTGAAACCCTAAATCGATGGGGAAGTGAAAATAGGAGGAGGGAGAACGAGGCTCGGGTCCCCGATTTAAGGGTGCCGATTAAATTTTTTCTTTTTCATTTTAATGACGTGTCATCCTACCTGTCACTGAAGTCTGAGGTGTAAGCGAAGGAGAGGCTGAGAAGGCAGCCAAGTCAACATTCCGTTAATTCCATTAACGGTGTCATTGACACCGTTAAAGTATGTAACGGAAATGGCTATATATGTCATCAAACTTTCAGAATTCTGGTTATATATGGCATTTCGCAAAAAATGGCTATTATTGTCACAAATCTAAAAGTTTTGGCTACATAGTTGTATTTTGCCTAATAATTATAAGGTATGTATAGTTATATCAAGTCCCCTTTATTTCCTTTCACTCTCGGATAGTCAAATCCTACTTGCCACCTCTTCGATCTCTTCTCTGTCCAAGTAAAACAAAATATGAGGGTTGAGGGCGGCGACAACATTGAGGTCGGCCACTGATGCTGCTCTCTAGATCTTCTTCTTCTTGTTAATTTGATGGGAAAGACACCATAGAGGGTCCTTAGCATGACAACAAGCGATATGTGGTTCGTGGCACAGCCTCTTTGATTGTCATATGTTTTTCGTTTGAGCCGAGAAGACGAGGATATTTGAGTCAGTGAGTGCAGAGTGGTCAGTGGGGAAATTTTTTCCTTCATTGAGTGTCAATTTTTTTCTTTTTTTTTTAGTGGTTTACAATCTTATCGGGTTTAATCGGTTCACTGCTAACTGTCGCTTATTAATTGTTTTTTACTTGGTATCCCAATAGAGGATTTGAGCTTCCACTAAACGTCTCGCATACTCCTTAGCTGTTAACGGTTATTAACCGTCTATTGCGATGCAATTAGTGATGAAATCGATAACTACATAACCCTTTATCACCCTTAAACCTTTTCTATTACGCTAAAAAGGCATTTTCAATGGGTATTTGAATTACTTGTAGGTAGGGTTGTTAATGATCCGAGCCGAACTTTGTCATAATTTGGGCTCGGCTCGTTAAAATATTTCCAAGCTCGAGCTCGGCTCTTTTATGAAAATGAAAGCTCCAGCTCGACTCGAGCTCGGCTCGCCAAATAAGCTTAACGAGCTCAAAATCGAGTTCAACTCATAAAATGTTCATGCTAGCTCAAGATTGAGCTAGAACTGAGCACAAAATTACATTCAAACTTGTAGTAAAGTCTCTAACAAAATAAAATCACAATATTTATCTCAATTTCATTACATAAAGTCCATGAATTCCAATCATTTTTATGCCAAACCGTTAAATGAGCTTGTTCGCTAGCTTTCAAGCTGAACATGGTGTGGCTCGAATACGGCTCGTTTAGTTAACGAGCTTGTTCGCAAGCCAGCTCGATTGAGACGAAACGAGTGTCGAACGAGTTTTTCTCGAGTCGGACGCCGAGCCGTTCATGAGCGGATTGGTTGATTAACCACCCTACTTGTAGGGCTTCTATGAATGAGAATATGTTTGGGCTTCAGCTCAATATCGTGAATTAAGCCCAAACTTTAAGAATTACTGGAAAGAAGAAACAAACATGAAACGTTCAGCCCAGCTTGGCACTTGACAGAGGTCAGGTTGGGCCTGCATTTGGATCAGACGATCAGTAGATAAATACATACAAAAATGATCGGCGCGAGCGAGAAAGCAAGAAGAGAGATCCTCAAGTCCGGACCTCGTCCGTTCTTAGTTCTTAGTTCTTACCTAAAGAAAAAAAGTTACTCATCTATCTTGGAGCAGGGGACCAGGGGTTGATTAACAGAAGACAAAGAAGTTGCTCCAAGTTCCTACATGTCTTGATAAATCAACTTCGCAACTGGGTTTCCTGCTCTCTGTTTCATCGTTTCGATTATGAAGGACCATTTTCCTTTCTATCTCGCAGTTGTTTATCAGCGGGCATTCCTTTCAGTGAAGTGAACCCTCCTTGCCAGGATTAATTCAATTCCCCTTCTCTTGCTTACGCTTCTTGGAGCTTCGCGTCGTTGTCACTTTATTTCTTGGGTAATTGCTCCTTCCCCCCCCCCCCCCCCCCCCCCCTACTTCTTCTTGCTGCTTTCGACTCTTTGATTTCACGAGCTACGGTGTCGGAAGCACCGTGGCCATGTTGAGCATCGGAATCCCAAATGTTGGTATGGAGACTTAAGCATCAAGATGCCTTCTTGTTCGTATCTTGGACTTGCCTAGTGATTGGGCGCCTTGTGTATTGGTGCGGGTTGCGTTCAACTATAACTAAATATGGTTTCTTGATTGTTGGTAATTGAGAACTGTTTGCCATTTTATGGAGGATGTTGGGGTTAGGGAGCTAGAGTGCTTAGGAAACAGTTTTGGGGCTTGGAAGCTTTTAGAGGAAAAGAGCTGTTCGCGTTTAGTAAGCATATGTCATTCTTCCAACCTTGTACTGTTATAGATTTGATGGTACAAGTTTGGCTGCTAGTTGAAGGGAATTTATGAACCCTGTCAGTTCAAGGATCTTGGACCTATTTTAATGTGCTGATTATGTAGTCAGCTTTAGGTCTTGGTGATCTGCTCTTTGGCTGTTAACTTCGTAGGTGACTATGGTACCAGTATGTCTAATAGTTCTTAGGACATGATCATACCATTGTCTGCAATATGGTGCTTGTGGGCTGTGGCCAATTCATTATACTTCGTGCTCATATGGATTCCTTTCTGTTGTACAGGAACCTTAATGGGCAGCTGACATACTTCCTAGATTGACTATTTTGATGGAGATCTCTGTAAGATTTCCAACTCTTTTTTAAAAATATGCTTGGATGCACATACTTCGAAATCTATTGGTCCTGTGGTGCTGGTTCTCAGTTCTATATCCTTGTAAAGATTGTGGGTTTCATTTCTACTTTGTAAGAGACAATGGAAAAGAAGTCACGTTCTTTCCAGTCCACCAGTGACACTCGAACTCTTATGAGGCTTTGTATCAGCAGTGGGGACCTAGTTTATTGTGTTAACATTCAACGTATTCGATAATTCTATGCAAATTGATTCTCTAGACTTTCCTTGGCCCCTGCAATTATGCAATCTAATCTGAAGACTGCATACAGGATATTCTTGTCAAACTATTTAGATGTCAGTAATATTGTCCTTATAGATTTTGGTAGCTCTTTGAATGAATTCGAGACAAGAGTTCTATCATCTAGAATATTGTCCATTGTCCCATGTCGTTTGATTTGTATAGCATAACATTGAAGAATGCGTGCAACTTGCTAGTCTTCTCCTCCCAGTAGCTCTTCTTAGGCTTTACCTCGAATTATCTCCCTTAGATGCTTTGAAGACTTCAGTACCTAAATAAGTTCGAATCAAAATTGGTAGTGGCATGTGCTTAAATCTCGTCTTTTCTCTCTCATGGCCTAATTAAAGGGATCAGGCGATATTGGTGACCGATCAACAAGTGATCTCGTTGTCAGGCTACGCACAGAAAGTGGTAGAGATGAGTGGCTTTACTGTCACTCCTCAGTTCTAACAGACAAATGCAAGTATTTTTCTGAGCGGCTTTCAGAGACCTGGCCCACTTTGCAGATCATCGACTCTCGCAACTGCGTCGACGTCTTCTGCCAAGACTCAGACATTGATCACCATGTCAACCTTCTCCGCCTCCTATATGTACTTACAGACGACCCCTTAGAGTGCATACCACACGGAGTAACCAATGTGCTCGGGATTCTAAAGGTGGCAGTTAACCTCAGCTGCTCACAACTCATTCCTGCTTGTGTGCAGTACATAGAAGCAGTCCCATGGGAGGAAGCTGAGGAGGACGAGATCTTAAAGATCATCCCGAAAATCGGTTCATTAGCAGAACCTATTCTTGGTCGACTCAAACCGGTTGATAAATCAATTGTTGAGAAGATTTTTGTATCTGCTGTTCAATTCGCCACCTCGTTACCTCATCTGGACTCAAATCATATAAAGGCTTCTGCACAGGATCAGATCGAGTATTTGCTGACAGAGGAAGATGATGATGAGCCTCTTTTGACTCCTGGTGATGATATTTTGTCCTTGTTAAGAGATTCCATGAAAAGGTTGTTTTACAAATTTGATGACAGATTGAATTCGTTGCTTCAGATGCCCTTGCAGTCAATTTCTGAGGGGAATGAGATGAAATTGTTTGAGTCACATCTTTCTGATTTAAGTTGGGCTTTCTTGATCTTAAACAAGCTGGATATGATGCCAGAATTTATCAGCCATTGGGTGGATGGGTCAGAGAAAGTCCTGCAGATCTTTGAGCGGTTGATGAGTTCGGAAGATGGGGTTACTACAGAAGCAAGCTTGAAGGCGATTGAGGCGTCTGCAAAAGTTCTGGAAGCAATTTCGTATGGCACTGTCATTCTGCCTACTCAGAGAAGGCTTCAGAATGTGAAGCTATGGCTTCCATTTGTAAGGAAAATGAGACCCGTGATTGATAAGGCGAGCAGCAGCGAGAATCAGAAGGTGAAATTGGATGGGGATTTGTGGCAGTCGTTGGAAGCTTCTTTTGTCTCAATCATTCTAGGCCTGCCATCAGGGGATCAAGCGGGGATCATCACGGAGTGGCTATCGGATGCAAACGTTCGGTATCCAGATTTGAGGGAGGTATTTGAGATGTGGTGTCACAGGGCTAGGATGGCTAAGAAGAGGTTTGGAAATATTGCGGGGAATCCCAGTGATGGAGTGATTACTAACATAGTTGCTGGTGGGGGAACTAATGACAATATGGATGATTCACTTGCCTGATGAAGTCTCTTTCTTGATTTTGGATCTTCATCTACGCAAATATTCTAATTACACTAGTTGCACATATCAGAAATCGATTTCTGAAGTCAGGAACTTCATGTAAATCTTTTGTACGATGGCAGGTCTCTGTATCTCTTGAACTGCATATAATACATCCACAAGTTTACTGTCAAATCCAAGGTGTTTTGGTTTGGTTTATATCATTCTTCTGTAGATTTCTCTGCTTACTTATGATCCAAGGGTAATTCTCTGGTTAGATTTCTCTTTCTAAAGAGGGGTTAAGGGGCATTTGCGGATGGCGAATATATATTCTGTGAAATTCTCCCTAGCAGTTAATTACCAATTCATGTATTATATGTGTTTAAATTATACGAGATGTTGTCTCCAATCAATCTCACATAATCACAACTATGAATGCATAAACTATATCAGTAAACAAAGCAAGGTAAATCAATCATCAACCAAATTATACACAGATTCAAGCATCATACAAAATCATTGCAATATCTAGGATCCACAAGGTTCTAGCCACTCATATTCGAAGGAAAACACAGACATTGAATAGGAATTCTCATATTCGAAGGAAAACATAGACATTGAATAGGAATTAAAACAAAATCTAACTTCTGGAAAAGGTCGTTTTCTGTCAGTTTTGGCTTATTTTTGTGCCTCTAGAGTTCCAGGACGAATTCTGGGGTGTGGAGGCAGAGCAACCCTTTATAAAGTTGTGTGTGATTTGAAGCTCAATAAGATATATTTATAGTCTTAGAAAGTATATTTCCTTGGAATTTTATGGACGTCGATTGGGAGTTGTAAACTCTAAAATCATTTTGTGTTCCTCAAATGGATGATCCTGTAGTGGTGGAGTTGCTTGTGCTCAGGGAAGCCATTATTTGGTGTGTGGAGCAAGGCTTGTCGGAGGTCCGTTTTGAGGGTGATGTGAAGGTGATTATTGACAAATTTAACCAAGCCGACAAATGAGATAGCCGGTTGGGTGCTATTCTGGAAGAGATTAGACATTATTTTTGTACTCAGCCTGGCTTTAGTATGCGTTTTGTAGGACGGGAGAACAATAGGGTAGCTCATTTGGTAGCTAGGAAAGCCCTCTCTTTGTATCCGACTATGAGTCGCTTCTTTGATTTTCAGACCTGGCTGGTTTCCAGGGTGTAACTGTCTATTTTTTTCGATCATTACATGATATCTTTTGGGGGAAAAAAATGATCAAAGTGTTGAACGAGGTAGTCCAAATCATAGTTGTAACACATCTTCGGGTGGGTTGGGTGCGAATACTTAAAATATCAAAATTGCATCGAACTCATTACCCTATTTATCGGGTTTAGGAAGACCCACCCAAAATTAATATCGGTTGGATTTTTCTTGACCAAACTCATTCAAATTTGCTTGGATGCCCTTGATGATGGGTTATTTTTCCAAATCATGAAACTCACTAGAAATTCATGATGATGCATGACTTTTGATCGTAGGTACGTAGTGGATCTTAAGTAACTTACTAGGCAACAAGTGCAAAAGAGAACTAAACCAACATCAATGAGGTGCATAAGCATGTAGGAGTGCGACACAATTTTTTTAAACGGGTAAATTGCAAGTTTGGTCACTAAGTTTACAAAAAAGGTTTATGTTGATCACTAAAAATATTTAATTCCATTCATGGTCACTAAAATTAGTTCAATAATTCAAGTTTGGTCACTCTCCGTCCAACTCCGTTAACTTTAGCTAATGTGGCAGTAAATTCTCATAGTTGACCGTTAAATGAGTGATGTGGCAATTAAGAAAATATTTAATATTTTACTATTTTCATATAATGTTTCATAATAAATTAAAATAAATAAAACATAAATAATTATTCTTATACCAAAATTAATATATAACCCTATCCTCACCGGAGAACACCTCCCGGAACCTCCTCATCCCTCAGAAACACCCGCCGACCGCAATTCCTTCACTTCCCAAAACTCAAACTCCCTTAGAAACCCGCCAGAATTCTCCTTCACTATATCTCACCCCTCCAAGACCCCAACTCTACACACTAATTCATTCACTATCCGTTTCCCCTTTTTCCCTTTGGGTTTTCCAATTTCAAAATGACAAATTCTGGTAGTGACAAATGGAGAGTCAAGCTCTGTCCACTTCCTACATTTCTCCGACCTTATTATAATCAAACGTTCCACCTTCTTCATCTCGTAAACCTTTCACCTCTTGTGACATCCGCTGCCTCTCTTCTCTCAAATCTCCGGCATCCAAACCTCCCCAATAATCCACCCACTAATCCAAACCTCCCCAATGTCTTGTGACATCCGCTGCCTCTCTTCTCTTCTCCCAAACCCGCCGCGAAAACCCACCGCACCAGAATTTAGAGCAACAGCAAGTTCGGGTCCTTCGACGACCTGAAACCAGACTTCGTACGGGGACCCATCATATTCCCGGACCTCTCGTGGCATGACCCGACATCTTCGCCTCAATCCTCGCAATTAGACGTCATCATCAATTCGTGGGGATTTTCGTTTTGGTACAGGGTGAATTAGTGTGTATAGAAGAGTTCTTGCGGGGTTTCTAAGAGAGTTTGAGTTAAGTGGAGGTATTGAGCCTGGTGAGGGTTTCTGAAGGAGGAGGAGCTTCTGGACGGGTGGGTGGAAATTTTGACGGTAGGTTAAATCTCAATTTCGTAATTATAATTATTATTTATGTTTTATTTGTTTTAATTCATTGGGAAGATGATGTGAAAATAGAAAATTATTTAATTTTATTAATTTTATTAGTTTTATTATTTTTTAATAGTCACATCACTTATTTCGATCAACTATGAGAGTTGACCGCCATAACAACTAAAGTTAACGGAGTTGGACGGAGAGTGATCAAATTCGGATTATTGAACTAAATTTAGTGATCATGAATGGAACTAATTATTTTTAGTGACCAAACATGAACCTTTTTTTGTAAAACCAGTGACCAAACTTGCAATTTATCCTTTTTTTAACTAAGGACATTTGCGTGCATACATCATACCAGAATATTTGTCAACTCCAGTAAAAATATAAAGGATATGAAATCATTCTACTCAATCTCACCCCACATTTTAAAATAGACAATGTTCTCATTGGATCAAACAAAAGAATAAGGTAAAGAATAAAACGAGTTACCTAGAAGTCGATAGATATTTAGAGTATGTCATGAAGAATGAGTAGCTAAAGTCAATTGTTTAGAAGAAGAAAAAATACTAGATAAAGAGATTAAATAACCAATTTCAAGCAAAATTTGACATTACTAATTTTCATTTATAAACCAAGTAAAAAAACTTTGGTGTGATGCACAATAGTATTTCTACTCATCTATACATACGTAGATAGAAAAAAAGGAAGCACCTCATTGATGTTGGTACATTGTTATTACGGAAGCAATGTAAAGTCAATTGTTTAGAAGAAGAAAAAAAAATACTAGATAAGGCTGGCTCCAACCCAAGGAGCAAAAAAGCCAAAGAGCCATATATAATTCTTTTTCTTACTCCAACCCACAAAAAAAGAGGGAGTCAAATATGGGTATTGGGGTTTTGGGAGCTAAATTTGGCTAGGTTTTGGGAAGAAAGCTATTTATGGCTGGGCAAAAAAGTGGGTACTGGACCCACGTTTATCACTCCCATGTGGCAGGCAAATCCCTTTTTTCTTTTTTTTTTTTCTTCTCCTTCCTCATTTGTGATTGGTTGTGGCTTTGTTTGTGTGATTTAAATTTTAATGAGAATCAATTTACGTAGTGACGAAACAACAGTCACTTTGCAACGATCATATATTAACAGCCATAAAAACGGTCTTGAAATACAATCACACTGAAACTTGAAATACAAACAATCAAGCAACAAGAAGTAAAATTAATATTGAAACATGGAATCCAATCTACAAGCAAACAAGATGGTCTTAAAGTAACGACTACAAGAAAATGGTCATATTTGGAGTGGTCCCGAAGTTAACGGTAACAAATTAGCGACTAATTTTTCAAAAAAAAAATTGTCTCGGAATTTAAGAAAAATTACATCGAAAATTTTGTTTTCAAAAGTAATAACGAATTATTAAAAAATTAAAGTGAAATATAAAAACTAAAGGTCAAATAAGTATGGTTTATTGAAATAAATTGAAAAATGAAGGTGGGAAGCTAAATTTAGCTTTTTGTAGGGTTGGAGTGAAAATGGGGTTTGGGGAGCTAAAAAGCAATATTTAGCTATTTGAGGAGTCAAATATGACTTTGTGGGTTGGAGTTAGCCTAAAGAGATTAAATAACCAATTTCAAGCAAAACTTGACATTACTAATTTTCATTTATAAACCAAGTAAAAAAACTTTGGTGTGATGCACAATAGTATTTCTACTCATCTATACATACGTAGATAGAAAAAAAAGGAAGCACCTCATTGATGTTGGTACATTGTTATTACGGAAGCAATGTAAAACAACGAAATGAATTTTTTTTACGAAACAGTTACATTGGAAACGTTACAGAAGACTTTTGCGATAGCTTAACACTTAAAGAAATTAGTCAAGTTGTAATTTGTTGATCGGGCTTGACTTTTGGTTTGGGCTGACTTTGACTCTTGATCTGCAGACTAGTATAGTTTGTGGGGTTTGGGTTTGACTTGACCACTTTTGTTTATCAAGATTCGGCTAGTTGAGCTTGGGCGTGATCTAGTTCCTTTTTATTTTGTACGACTATAATTAACTATAATTGTGTATGTGGTTTGTAATTCCCATGTAGGATAATGATAGTCTTAATAAAATGTATGCCTACTATGACATGCATGTCACCGTGACATGGACTTTTCGGTTGACCTAATTCTGAAGGCGGTCGACCGAATTGACTTATTTGGGCAGCACGAGAAAGCATTGCGGTCGACCTCAACGACCACGTGGTCGACCGCACTTAGTTTAAGTTGTTATTTTCGGTGGAAATCACGCATTAGAGAAAATGACGGCGAATGCTACATTAGGTCGACCTCACC